GTGAATTGTTTGGAGCGTTTGGGTTTGACTGACATGTCTTTAGAGGGCTGGGTTGTGAATTGAGGAGACTGTCGTTCACTGTCATGAAAAAAAGAGCTCTGCTGTGCTTCCCAAAAGCATTAATTAAGATAATTCAACAATAGGAGAGACCAGGGACGGTTGTAACACTTTTTCTGCGTTAATCATTTGTAACTTATTTCTTCATTCATTCATTTATTTGTTTGTTTGTTTAAAACTATTTTCCAAATTCCACCCATTTCATAATTGTATTTCTTTATTTCATTAGTTATTCTAAAATAGCAAAAACATTTGAATAACAACAACAACAACAACATTACAACTAATAATTTAAAAATCTGAAATATTACTAAGATGCCATCATATGTTTTATGTCATTATTGCATAAAATACATTATTTAATATTCATAATATTTAAAAAAGTTATATTTAAAACATATTTAATGCATACGTTTAAAAGATATAACATCTGCATACAATTTTTCTTTCTTTCTTTCTTTCTTTCTTAAATAAGAAATAGTGTGTCAATAATGCAAAAAAAATAAAGCAATAAAGCATCACCTAAAGGGCAGACATGCCATCAAACTCATAAAAAACCTGAACGAATCTGAGCAAATGAGTCCAGTCAGTTTCAGATGATCATTCCCAGCTGTGTTGTGACATGATAGAGAGATCCAGACGCGGCTGAAGCACACAACATGACGTTTATTGAGAGGCTAATTTCAGACTCTTCAGGATCAGGCTGCAGTCATCAGGACCCACGGCGTGAAGAACCACACTGGAGTGCACTTATTCCCAACCTTGTGTGATACATACAACTATATACCCACGGTAAAAATGTACTGCTTTATGGAGTTCTGAATAGTATTAAGTAGGAATGTTTAAAAGTAATAATAATAACACTTTAGTAGAGGGACCAATTCTTAATATTAACTAGTTGCTTATTAGCAAGCCCATTATTAACATATTGGCTGTTTATTAGTACTTATAGCATTTATTTCATTTTGCATCCATAATCCTACCCAATACCTAAACTTAACATCTACCTTAATAACTATCAATAAGCAGCAAATTAGGAGTTTCTTGAGGCAAAAGTCATAGTTAATGGTTTGTTCATAGCGAGAATAAAGTAAATAAAGTTTGACTAAAGAGACAGAATGAGTTAGAGAATACTATAATGCATGGCATTCAGATATTCTATCTCTCCTTTTTGATGCATTGGAAGAATTTGATGTGCAATGTTTGAATTCATATTATAATCTGTTTATTGATTGCACTCTGCGGTGTCTTGGCAAATCTGAGCACAGAGACGTCAAATCTGAGACGTTGTTGTGAAATTCAAGAGGTTATAGTACTGTGGTCTGTTTCTCAGGAGCCTTCAAAAAGACATTGTTTCATGAATGAAGAGTCATTATTCGCTGAACATTTTGCCATCGACAGCAGGTCTGGGTCAAATGTGTGACGTCTGACAAAACAGCAAACATTCGATTTGAAACACCATGAGGACAAGTGAAGTATTTTTAAGGTGAAACATTTTCATTAGTCTCTGTTTGCTCTCCACTTATTCTCAGTGCTGTAGAAGAAACAATTGAGAGGGGAATTTTTTTTTTTTTTTGTGATTTTCTTTCCTATTGGAAGCTTCACAGCTAAATTGCTTGCCTTGACAGGTAAAGGATGACGATATTCAAGGGGAAGAAAACACAAGGTGACTTGTTCTACCCACATAGCGTGAAGATTTTGCTTTGATGATGTTCTAATTTAGAGCTGTCTTTTATCTCGACGCTGCGATCGATGTGCAGACTAAAAAAAAAAAATAATTTATTTGCTGAATAAATATTTGAAAGGAAAACAGTCGGAGCTTTGTTACTCTGAATGTTCGATTCACCCTGAAGTACTTTTCTGTCACTTTTCAGAATTTCTTCTTCTAATCCTAAACTAAAACAGATTGGAATGCATGTTATTCATAAATCTAGTCACATGATCAATGCTGTATTCTAACCCTTACACATCACATCTGCCCTGAATCCCAATAAGGCTAAATAAAACCACAGAGAGATGATTTGCCCTGATCACCCGATGGTTTAGTCGCCTGATGCTCTCTCGCCATCAGCAAGGCAATTCATAATCAATATTCACCCAGAAAGCACACCTGCATTCAAGGTTGTGCTCCGAACCCGATTAATTAATGACGCTGTGTTGTGTCCCTGTTGACTTCATGATGATCTTTCACAGGCAGAATACAATAAAAGATCTAAAAGCTGAAGGTGTGACTTCAAGTGTGGAACGTTTCTGACTATTTTCTTCTTTTTTTGGAAGAAGAACAAAAAAAAATCCGTTCAGGACAAGAACTTTGGATAAAAAATAATGTGCAAAGACCTTAAACATGTCATCTTAGTAATCATGTTACTTTCATATAGTTTATATTTTTGTACAGTAATCAATACAAGTTAATAAAAAAAAGTCCAATAATAATAATAATAATAATAATCGTCTTGACTAACTTGATTGTCTTGTAACTGTTATTAATTAACTGTAACTGTAATAATTATAAAATTATTTAAATTTAATAATCATGTCAGAAATTAAAAGAATGTGCCAAATTACATTTTTAAACCAGTATTTTCTTCCTTCTTTAAATATTATTAACAATGATTTTATTTTTCTTTCTTTCTTTCTTTCTTTCTTTCTTTCTTTCTTTCTTTCTTTCTTTCTTTCCAAAGGAATTCAGAATTTTACTGATGATATTTTTCTTTAATCTCTAGACAACTACACCTTCTAGACATTTTTATGTTACAATTAATCAATATACTTTTAACTCTACCTAAATTTTGCCTAACAATCAAAATAATCAAATTGTTTCCTACAATGCAATGCTTTTTTTTTTTTTTTTTTTTTTTTTTTTTAAGGGGA